GCCCACCTACCCCTCCCCTAAGCCAACATAACACTAACTTCTCACTTAGGGCAAAATGTTGGCTTAGGGGAGGGGTAGGTGGGCAGTTTCCCAGACATGTTTAATGATCCTTTATGGATAGCCAGTCACGTAATCTAAAAGAAATTTTATCACTTATAAAAAAATGCATTATCTTAACAACAATTCAACTCCAACAAAAAATAATAACAATAATAATGCAAATTATTTGAGGTTATTTTGCTTTGGAAACAACATGTGCTTCTGATTGGTTGTGCCGTGAGGGAAATTTGCTTCATCCATTTAGATCCTCAGTACTTTTGCAGTTGTTCCTAAGACGCCACGTCCCAGGGAAACAATGGCTGGCCTTACAAATGTCACTAACTCAGCTATTTTTTCCGGCTAGACAGAAAATTCTTTTATTTATCCTTATAAAGCAGTACATACTTTCTGCTGGCCTACAGATTACAGCAGTAGATTCATACGCCATACCAACACTGCAGACACCGTCCACTTCAGCCATTTCAGATGAACACTGAAACGACTCACTGTGAAGCAAGATACCAGTAATACATAAATTCAAGAACCAAATAACATTCATTTTCCGAGAAAGTTCGACGTAAATTTAAAGTAACATTTCAGGCTTTAATGACAGTGGCTTGCACAAGACAGAACCTCTATGGAGTACTTGCAGTTGCCTTAATGAAAATGTTTGAAACTGGCAGAATAGAATAGAAAACTTTAGTAATGTACGTGTCAGAGCCGTATAGCTTGGGAAAAACCCTATACTAATTTGGGGACACAATTTATCACTAAATAATTGGAACTACCTATACTATATAAAAGTAAAAATATTTAAACTACGTATAATATATTATACTCTAATGATAATCTAAAATAACTGAGAGACAGGTTGAACAAGGAGAATACAATTAACAGTGTACCTGTCAGACTACTGTAATCACTCTTCTGATTGCCATTTTAAACCAGATGATTTTCACAAAACATTGAAGAATCCATCCTCTAGTACGCTTCCTAATATTAAGAGCCCACCCGCTCCGCTAAAAGACTAAACAGGGCCCTTTCCCGAAAAAATGCCTCCTCCACATCCTCTCACTTTCTTAACCCTTTTAACCCTAATATCAAAATTGGGATTCTCATTTACTGCCCCTATACTTTTTCAATAGAGGTAGTGGGGAGAATTTGTTAAATTATCAATTAGACACATCTTCCCTGATCATGCACTCAATTCTCATGACCTGTCTGTTTTCTAAAGCATTGATATGATAAGGAGAAATTTCACGCTGATTACTCTTAAGGGTTAAATAGTGGGATAATGCAATAAGGAAATGGAGGCGTAGGTGGGCAAGTGGTTCACAACTGAAACTCTGGATCCAGGCTTGAAACCTTGCCTGTTGCGTTGGTTCCTTGGACAAGAACCTTTACTGCACTTTGTCTCTCTTCAACCAGGTGTTTAAATGGGTATTGGCAACATACTAGATGGACTAGCTTCCTGTCCAGGGGGAGTAGCAATACCCCTAGGCATGCTTCATACTAACGAAACTTTCACCTTTCCTTTTAACACCTTTACAATAAGGAAACCTGTTTCTTTCTTTTCTTTAAGGTATGATTTCTATGATGATTTTTTTACATCAGCAGGATCTTACTTTGTCTTGTGGGATCAGTTATTCCAAATTATTATAGTTTTTGTCACAAATTATTATATGAGTTTAAGCAAAGCTGTCTTAAGACATTTTCCTTCACTTAGAATGTCCACAGCCTTTTAAATGTTCATAGCTAAAATACACACTGAGACACCAATAGCCAGAAATAACAGGCAATGACTGTGTTAATGACTAGCATAGGAGCTGATGTCCTTATGAATAAAATATGAAAATGTGTCTAAATATTTTTAAAATGCTTGGGGAAAAAATAATGCAAGATTTTCTAAATTAAAACTCTTATTTATACTGAATCATTTTATTAAAAGAGTGTAGTGTCTGGAGAATTATTATAGCAGTTTCCTTTCAACGCTTTTCAGATGGAATATTATAATAATAATGCCCTTTGTCCAGCTAAATGACTACATGACAGGTGCTAAAACCTTGGCTGTCTAAAATTCATGAATACTAATAGTAACTTCACATGGGAAATATTATAATGATACAATGATTCCTCCGCAGTGCACTCAAAAAGAAAAGGGAAAAACTGGATGGAGCCATAAATAAGAACAATTCATGAAAGGAAAGGAAAAAGAACAAAAGAAACTTAGCGGAGAAAAAGGAGGCATTTGATTACCGTTTATTTGGAGAACCATAGCCTAAAATCGTGGTTGAAGACACCCATCTAAATGCACGATTTTCCTGACACTATAAATCAATTTCCAGGATATTTCAAACGATATCAGAAATGATTTGATGTCGCATAGAAGTTTTAAAAGTAAGAATCATGGACCACGTTGGCATCGATTAAAATCTTTAAGCCCAACTGTCTATTTAAAGGGCTGATCACTGAGTCGACGCGCGCTCAGATCAGGTGTCCTTGCGTTTTATGAGAGAAAACATTTTGCGTAGAATGAGGATTTTTATCCCATCTTACCTTCAGGTAGAAAAACTCCTTCCTTGTTCAAGTTAGAAGTACCTGTTATAAGCTCGGACCCAATAAAATAAATGCTTTAGGGATAAAAAAAAAAGCCGGCTTTCCTAAGATATAAAAGTAGTGTCTGCGGGCACAGATGTTTTTGTTGTGTGGCACATGCGTTGACACACAGTACGATTTGTTCCATGGGGGCTACCACTGACGTTTACTAACCGCGGGCGTAATGTTTTCCGTGACGATCGTGACGATCACAAGAGTCGATTCATTCCATCTTTTGCCGGTATAAATTCGGATCCTCGCTCTTGATAAACTTTCCATAAACCTTTGCAGCCATGTCGTATTTGCACACTAACTGGAGAGATCTTGAGGTGAGAATGTAAGTTTTGCTCGTTGCAAATATCTGTTGGCTGGATCGATCCGCTTCGCCTCAATTTTGGCGGGGCTGGTAGACTGTACGGCTTGGCTGATCATTGTGGTGAATCGTGATCGAAGCTTTAAATCGCGATTTTGTTAACCACAATCGTGATTTAAAGCTGTTTGCGTTGCATGGACATATTTTTTAAAAAACTACACCGTACGTCCCGTACGTCTACATCGTAGTGAGGAGATGAGACCATGTTCTTCCTCGTTTTGTTTTGTTCGTTTGTTTGCTTGTTTTTTTTTTAAGTTAATAAAAATCCATCAACACTGCTGGAAAGAACACATCAAAATTAGTAAAGCCGCCAAGTTTGGAAATGATATCTTGAAATCTAACCAAGATATGGCTCCGCAACTTAACGGGATTTTACTGGGGCTGGTTTATGACCCCATATTAAATTACTTATGCTCGTCCCAGACATAACAACAATGGATTCCTTGTCAAGAGATAAAAACCTTTGGAAGGTTTTACTGACCTAATATCCCTTGGCGTTTGTACAAAAAATAAAGGAACAACTTGACAAAATCCATCAAAGACATAAAACCTCATAAAATCATTCTCTTTATTTAGGAAAAAAAATCAAAACTCATTTTCTCCTCAAATAGAAAAATAAATTTATTTGAGATTCTTGATCAAACAGTCATATAATAAAAAATGTGAGTAGCTGCAATATACTTTATCCATGTAAGCTATAATACAGACATGTAATTTTAAATTAAAATCATACTTACAAAACTTGTCCAGGGGCTCTCCTCGAAAAGCCCCACAGGGTTTGCTGGGAGTTCCTGCCCTATGATATTTTAATTTTAAGACTGTGTAGTTATTGTATGTAAAAAAGGGCAAATAAATTGATTGATTGATTGATTGATTGATTGTTGACAATAAATAACAATAACTAAATAAATAAATAATAGAAGTAACAATAATAATAGTAATATTAATAATAATTGCTGCAGCAGTTTAATAACAAGATCTCCACAATGGAGCCATATTAGGCTGCTTCCCCATCAAACAGAAACATAACATTCACCCGGATAGTTAGAAGAGCTTTACATGTAAATGCAATTTTGATCAAATCTTAGTCACATTATGCTGTCATGTTATATATTTTTTTTGGTGGGGCGGGCAGAGAGGTTGGGTAGAGGGGTCTCATTGTGAAAATGTCCCAGTTAAAAATAATGCCTATCTTTTCTTGTTTTATAAGGGTAACTTTTCATTTTTAGTTTTTTTTCATTCATTTGTGGTGGAATTGATAGTACCTAATTTTCTTGTTTACTGTAGATTTAGATCTGAAACAACCAGCCTCCTCCCCTCAAAAGTCAAATGATTGTCCTCATTGCAGGGGGATGGGACACGCAATGCCTTCTGGGTTAGCGTCCATCATTTTGTCTTTTTTTGGACAGAGATTACTTGCCACCAAAAACTTGATTAGCTCTACCACAGGCTACCCAATAATAAAATTAAGCTGATTTTAAAGTGCGCCACTATAACCCCAAGTGACTAAATAAACACCTGAAAAGAGATTTCAAATGGAAATCACATTTTTATGCCAAATACATTGAAATAGAAATTATTTATTTGTTTTGAAGGCTTGGCGCAGTGAAGGATTACCTTTAACTACTACAAGTAATGAAGCAGCAAAAATGTATGATGCTACCTTAACACNTTTTCTTGTTTACATACTGTATATCTGAAACAATATCCAGCCTCCTCCCCTCAAAAGTCAAATGATTGTCCTCATTGCAGGGGGATGGGACACGCAATGCCTTCTTGGTTAACATCTGTCATTTTGTCTTTTTTTGGACAGAGATTACTTGCCACTGAAAACTTGATTGGTTCTGCCACAGGCTACCCAATAATAAAATTAAGCTGATTTTAAAGTGCACCACTATAACCCCAAGTGACTGAATAAACACCTGAAAAGAGATTTCAAATGGTAATCACATTTTTATGCCAAATACATTGAAATAGAAATTATTTATTTGTTTTGAAGGCTTGGCGCAGTGAAGGATTACCTTTAACTACTACAAGTAATGAAGCAGCAAAAATGTATGATGCTACCTTAACACAGGTTGGTTGGTTTGTGTGTATCATTATAAAATGACTGATTTCACTTGATTTGTAATACTTTTTTATTATTTGTTTGGTTACTTATAATTAAGCTGACATAAAACCATGAAGAGCAGAAAGCTGATGATTTGGAGTCAACATTTGGACATTGTCAGCCTGCACATTCCCCTGAGGGTGGGGTGTAGCTTGAAAATAAAGATCTCTTAGTGGGACAGTCAAATTTGTTAATTGTTGCATTATTAGCAAGCACATGAAATTGTGTTTAGCATGTGAAGCTGGTCCATTGTCAGCCTGGTTAACTCCAAACATGGAATTTTGAAAATCTTGACAGGCCTCAATCTCAAGATTCATGGATCATCTAATTTTACCCAGTCCCCCTTGGTTTCAAACCAGGCTTAATGACTTGTATTGGTCTGTAAATGTACACACATATTGCTTTCAATGGTGTCTGCTATAGGAGTGTTGCCTGGCAAGAAGATGTGGGACTCACAGCATTCATGTTGGCATAATGGACTGGGTTTCTGCTCAATATAGCTTTGCTGTACATTATTACACCTTGGGTGTACTTATTACAAAAAACTGATAATGTTCATCTGATCATATCACAGTACACAGGGTGGTATGATGACTCTACTGTTGGTGGTATTGAGGGATCAATTTCTAAGATGATTGCAGCTGATCCAACTTTTGGTGAGTTAAATTAACAAAGATCCAGTATGACTGTTGTAAATTGACAGCTGGAGCTCACAACTTGACAAACAATTTATTACGTGTAATGCTACACTAGAATTTCTAGTGGCTTTAAAGCATTACACTGTAAGTTCATGTAATTGTCATTATTACTTATTTACATGTATAACTTTTATTTATTTATTTCATTTCATTTTTGATTTTGACCTCTCAGTCTCTTTACATGTACATTGTACATGTACATGTATGTGCATCAACCATAATCTTTACCATATTATATTTTTATAGTCATTCATTATTATTAGTTTAGAAAAGACAGCATTGTGAGTACTTTTAAGTTGAATAAAGCCTAATATTCAGCCATTTTTCCTCTTGAGGCGCTTGTATATTAATCCCAGAAAGAAAAAAGAAAATAATATAAGAAATTGAAAGTGTGGAAAATTGTGTCAGAGTTCCCAACTGTATCAAATGCCCACAGGCATTAACCATAGATCTGCTCTTCTGTTACGACCATTGCAGAAATGGTGGGGGTGAGGGAGGGGGGGAGGGTACAGGCAGGTTCTGAGTGACTTGTGATACACTGCCCACCTCTATTTCCTGTATTTTACATGTTCAAAGAAATTTTTTTATATTAATTTTATCTGCAGTCCCACATTACCTTTTTTCACCATATGTATTTCACGGATAACAATCAATAATTAATATTTTTCAGTCATTCGGTTGAACCTTTTTTTTTTGTTTCAGTAATGGGCCATGTACTATCCTGCGGGTTGGATCTCATATCATCTGGCATAGGTATTCACGTAAATCAGGATCTGAAGAGTAGGATGGATACACTACAATCACTTGCCACAGCAGCAAGCAGCATCACTAATAGAGAAAAGCTGCATGTGAGAGCTGTACAAGAGTGGGCTGAAGGGTAGTTTGTGTTTTTTTTACCTTTTGATTGAACAGTAGACCCTAGACACCTTGAACCTTCAAGGGAAATTGAAAAAAAGGTCAAGTTATTGGCAGCTTGAAGCAAATAGCCGGAAGTAAGAAGAAAAAAAAAACAGTTTTGACTATACAGTAAACGTTCCAATCACGTTTTTATTATAGAAATGCTGGGCTTGAAATTAATACTCACAAACTCGGAAAATGCGAGTGATTTTGAAAATCTGTGAGTGACAAAAATATCGACTTACAAACATTTGCGAGTTAGAGTCATCCATGTCTCCCAACAATTTAAAAAAGGGAAAGAATTTGCTAGTGGTCTCACCAGTTTGCTAGAAGAAAAAATGTTTCCAGCAAAACTTTGCAAGTGCAGTAAAAAGTTAACTTCGAGTGCTGAAATGTTTTTAAACTTGGTAATGCACTCCTGCACATTTTTTAAACAGTACTTAGAAAAAATACCTGTAAAATTGCCTGGCATTACAGGTAAAGTATCAATCAACACTTGTAATCCTTTAAAAAAGTTTGCTTGTTTTTTTCTTTCTTTTAGAAACACAGCACAGGCATGTCTAACGTGGGAAGATATTTTGGTGGAAAATCCAACAGACATGTTTGCACTAAAAATGGCTCATGATTCATATTTCTACATGGGTTACCAAGAGCACATCAGAGATTCCATTGCCCGTGTACTTCCTCACTGGAAAGAAGGCATGCCACTTTATGGATGAGATGGTTTTGTTTTATAGACTTACTAGTCTCCCCTGCGACTGTTCTTTGTCTTGTCACACAATGACTGTGACAAGATAAAATGGCTGCAAAGGAGGCTATGACTTAACTTGACACAGAGATGCCCAGTGGGGTAGGGACAAACGAAGAGTGTTCCCAGGGGGGTTAGCCTGCAAACACAGATGTATTTCGGGTCATCCTTTTCGGATGGAGAGAAGCAACGACCGGAAATAACGTGTGTTCACAGGCTAACAGCTAACAGGAGGTAGGGTTCAAGAGATTTTTTGGTATCCCCTTTATGCACTGACCTTCAGAAAACAAATTGAGAAATAAGAATCCTAGGGAAAAAATATCAAGAATTGTTCTTCTACTTCTACATGTGAGATATGCATCATGCATTCTGGATTACTGTATAACTTATTGGGCTCTCTTGGGTGAATAATCAATAATTTCAATCAAGTTAGAACCCACCTTGCGAAAAGACTGGGTATGCCCCTGTCAATTGGGATCATAGGTCCCATGCAACAGAAACTATAGGGGCGGTAAGTACTATTTTCCTAGTAGTTCTTCTACATGTACAGTGTATGTACCCGTAACCCCACAAGACACAACTAGGTCACTCTCTGGGCAAAGTATTAGCTATAAGAAACATCAGTTTCGACTAAATAAACGTTAATTTGTCTCATTTATACTTTAGTTACTCACATAGCAGTTGTTTTTTGTCTTTCCTGTTCGTTTTTCTCCCATATATCCCTTGTAAAAGACGAAAAAAATGCATCGTTCGATTCAAACCTGTTCAAACTGACCGCCAGTATTTGATTTAGTCTTGGTAACCAAGCCTTTTCTTCAAATCTCAGGCGCGGGCGCTAAGCAAAAAGCGTTATATTATTTGCTCAGGGATCCTATGATCAGACAACGGCGACGTCCATGAAAACGGCGTGGTTGTGAAGGTACAGCGGAGAAATTTACAAAAAAGCGTGATACACGTTGCAGAGTTGTTATTTTGCTGATTAAACCTATTGCTTTTTAGACCTTCCCGTTGCCAGTTTCGTAAGGTCCCGTCGCAAAACGTAATTCAAACCCCGGTTAGTAACGTCTGCAAAGCAGCGTCGTGATCCTTGTTTTAGTCCCCCAACGTACTCAACGAATTCCCGGAAATACGTTTCGTTTTTCCTCTCATTCTGATTGGCAATCGACAAACAGACCTACCATGGCGCATGCTCAAATCCTGATACTCAGATGGGGGCCTAAAACAAGGATTCCAGCGCTGTTTCGCACACGGACTTAACCAGAGTTTAGTTTTGTTTGTGGCGCAGGCTAAGTAAGACAGGTAAGGGCGGATTTCCAGGGTCTCGTAGCTTTTACGTTAATGCGCGACCTTTCATAAAATTATAATTTCCTCCATTTTATTCACCCACGTAAGTTGTACCCGTACAAGCACATAAAAACTACACGACAGTGGAAATGCACCCTTATTTTTCTCTTATTTTGTCTTTCTTTGGTTCTCCTTCCCCGGCCTCTTTCACTGGTATACTGTGGTATACTGTATGTAGTTACTTCCCATCACAATGAACAGATCGACGTTTTGTATAAACGGTTTGTGTTCTACACCACCTTAATTTAGATTTTATTACTCACAGGTATCTGCAAGGAATGTATGCCTTTGGTCTTGTAGAAACAAACTTTTACAAGGAGGCGGAAAAATATGCTCTTAAGGTAGAGTTTAAACCCCAAAGGCCCAGTTATTTAAACGGAGTTTAGCAAGTACTTAACAAAGCTGCGTTCTAAGCCATTTTCAGTGATTTGCTAACGCTTTTACACGATCTATCGTGAACAATTTCAGTAAAGCGAATAGCGTAGACTGGAAAAGCTATTTATTTAGTATGTAGTTCAAACTTTAAAGTCTGTCGATGAAATCCTATGGTATGACCATTCAAATGAAACCTCTTGAGTGGTACTCTCACGTGGTACTATTTATTTAGTTTGTAGTTCTAACTTTTGAGTCTGTGAATGAAATCCTATGGTGTGACCATTCAAATCATTGTAAAACCGCTTCAACAGTACTTCACATGGTACTATTTATTTAGTTTGTAGTTCTAACTTTTGAGTCGGGGATGAAATCCTATGGTATGACCATTCGAATGAAACCTCTCCAGTAGTACATTCACGCGGTACCATTTGTTTTGTTTTTTTTTTTCAGCATTTCCCAAATTAAATTAGGAAAAGTGTGTCGAATTTGACTTCGGTCACTTTCTACTGATTTATTGCCTTTGTCAATGCATTGTAGGCCTTGGAACTGAATCCAAAGGACTGTTGGAGCACTCATGCCGAAGCTCATGTGATCGAGATGGAGGGACGACAAGATGATGGGATCAAATTTCTTAGCAAGACAATAAATGACTGGACAGTACGATGGTTCTTCTTTATGCATTTACACTTGTTTATGATAAATAGTTGTTTAGCCTGGTTTTCACCTGCAACCAAGCCGTCGGGGACGTTTCTGGATACTCTTTGTCGCGAAACGCTGGGAAGAGTTGCGTACAAAGAGGGACAGAACTGGACTAGAGTCGTTAGTGATCCATTCAAAGCAGAGTGCCGATTCTGTATACGACTCCGTCACTTTCGATCTAGCGAAAACTAGACTGTCGTAGTCACAAGCAGAAAGGACAGACATTGTGATTGGTTTTAGTATATTTGCAATTCTGTTTATGCCCCTTCAGGCTACTTTTATAAGATTGTAAACGAGGGAGTCATTTGCGGAGGAAATGTTTTGATTCTTGCGTTTTTCCTGGAGCCTTGACAGAAAATCAAAAATGGGAGTCAGCAGCCGAACTATCATAGTTCGGCTTACGACTCCCATTTTCGATTTTCTGTCAGTCCTAAGTGCTCGCACGGTTCATCCGATTCCCTTGCTTATAAAAACCAATCGAAATATTGAAAGAATAAACTCTATTCCTTATTGATAGAGACCAATTAACATACTATCACCAGTTCTTCAACAGGATTGGCTGTAACATGCTTTTTATTTAATGGGCAAATGGACAGGAGAAGTCCTTACGTCACGTTGCCATGGTAGTAAAATTTTGGGGTCTCAACAAACCGTAGTCCTGCAAATATGTCAGAAAAAAAACGAAAAAATTTGACAAGTATGACTTTCTTATGATTAAACTCAAGAACAAAACGGTGGCCAATACTATTCTTCCATCGCTGGTCAATGGTAATGGCTGTCTCTGTCAAGAACGATTGTGGAGATAGAAATTTTGCTACCATGGTAATGTGACGTCACACTTCGATTCCCATTTTCCCTTTCATCTATTCAGCAACAGATTGCACTATACCATCCGAGTCGCATGGTAGCCACTGGCTTTCTTTGTTTTTCTTTTAGACTGGAGCAATGTTAGCTTGTCACAATTACTGGCACTGGGCTTTATACCACATCGAAAAGGTATATGCATTACTTGGGATATACTAACTGTGGA